TGCATATTCCAGATAAGGGACGATAAATGGGTCGGGAGCCAGGTATTTGTGCAAACGGATTCTGAATCTTTGTGTATCCTGAGATCATAATTAAACAAGAGTAAGATTAATTAAGATGAACAACACGTTATTTGAAGTATGAAAAATGTATAACCAAAGAAGAGACTTACAAATGCAGCAATGTTTTCCCTTGTGCCTCTGTGAGTATCTCCCATTGTTAGAAGAGCCATTGTTCAGAATGCTTGAGAGAATGAAAGACTTAGGAAGAAATAAAGAGTATGATAGACTTAAGAAATATTTCGTAGCAGAGAGTGAGAGTTGTGTGGGTGTGAGAGATGTTTCATAAGGTATGTATTTATAGGCAAATAAGTTTGATGTAGTGGTTGCATGCCTGCGATGTGTCACATTTGCATGCTTAGGGTGTTACACATATGCATGCATGCATTTACAAAAAATGTAAGGTGTCACTCTTGCAGGCTAGGTGGCAGCCCATGCATGTATCACAATTGGACAGTAAGGGAGGCGCCATCTCACTTGGCGAAAGAGTACAAAAAAGAATGGTGTCGCCACCCCATTTGGCGAATAAGAGGTGTCACTTTTTACAGCATTGGCTCAGGCTACGTGACAGCCTTTGGGATTCCTTTCTTTGTTGCATGCAAGGCCATTGGAGTTGATGGGTGGAGTCTTACACAACATTTATGTGTGCAGAATAGGGCCAGGCTAGGTGGCAGGCTAGGTGGCTGCATAAGCCCATGCATGTATCACGATTGGACAGTAAGGGAGGCGCCATCTCACTTGGCGAAAGAGTACAAAAATTAATGGTGTCGCCACCCCATTTGGCGAATAAGAGGTGTCACTTTTTACAGCATTGGCTCAGGCTACGTGACAGCCTTTGGGATTCCTTTCTTTGTTGCATGCAAGGCCATTGGAGTTGATGGGTGGAGTCTTACACAAAACATTTATGTGTGCAGAATAGGGCCAGGCTAGGTGGCTGCATAAGCCCATGCATGTATCACGATTGGACAGTAAGGGAGGCGCCATCTCACTTGGCGAAAGAGTACAAAAATTAATGGTGTCGCCACCCCATTTGGAGAATAAGAGGTGTCACTTTTTACAGCATTGGCTCAGGCTACGTGACAGCCTTTGGGATTCCTTTCTTTGTTGCATGCAAGGCCATTGGAGTTGATGGGTGGAGTCTTACACAAAACATTTATGTGTGCAGAATAGGGCCAGGCTAGGTGGCAGGCTAGGTGGCTGCATAAGCCCATGCATGTATCACGATTGGACAGTAAGGGAGGCGCCATCTCACTTGGCGAAAGAGTACAAAAATTAATGGTGTCGCCATCCCATTTGGCGAATAAGAGGTGTCACTTTTTACAGCATTGGCTCAGGCTACGTGACAGCCTTTGGGATTCCTTTCTTTGTTGCATGCAAGGCCATTGGAGTTGATGGGTGGAGTCTTACACAAAACATTTATGTGTGCAGAATAGGGCCAGGCTAGGTGGCAGGCTAGGTGGCTGCATAAGCCCATGCATGTAATATTATTGGCAGCCTTGGGGGGTTGCATCACTTACTTAATTGAAATTTTTTGCCTTACGTTGAACATAACATTCATTCACATAAACTGTAAAATTTTCCAACCTTCGAATCAGTCATCTAACCTTCAAACATTCCAACATTCATACCTTCATACAATCAATAAACCTAAAACATTCCAACCTTCATACCTTAAAACAATTCTACACAATGGCCTCTTCACCACAATTTGTTGTCAAAACACATTTCAACGGTGAGACATACATGTGTCCCACAGTTGGGTTTTTGTTTAGAAACACCAACAATGTTCGATTTCTCTTAAACGAGAAAGCAAATTTCTCATACTTTAAGAAAAGATTGGAGGCCAAACTTGAACGAGGCCCGGTATCCCAGATATTTTATCAGAGTCCAGTCTTTTTTGGAAACAACCAAGTTATTTTTTATAAGGTTGCAATTCAAGATGACGAGGATTTCCAGAACATGATTTCCAGCCATGTCTATTCTGGAAACGACTCTATTGAGTTGTACGTTTTGTTTCAAGAGCCTCCGGTGACACAGGAGGTAGAGCCTTCGGTGACACAGGAGGTTGATCCTTTGGAGAATGAGCAAGATGAGGTGGATGTAGTTGATGATGAAGAAGAAGATAACGAGTTAGAGTTTGATGAAATGGTGAACGACGATTCTGACGATGATGGCATCCCAAGTATTCCTACCGACAAAATCTACACACCACCTACGCACATGACAAACTTCAACATGGGCGGAGATGAACCTTCTACGGACTTGTTTTTCCAACCGTATATGCAGTCGGATGAAAATTTAAAAGAGAAGGACAAGTTTCGTAATAGAGAGGAATGCATAAGGGCCATCAAAAAATTTCACATGCTCAACTCGGTTGATTATAAGGTGGATCGTGTAAACCCAGAAAGGTACAAGATCAAGTGTGTCCACCCTGACTGTATGTTCAAGCTGACCGCTTCATACAGACTAAGGGGTGACTGCTGGGTCATAGGTTCCATGACTACCCATACTTGTGTAAGTTCCACTCAATCACAAGACCACCGAAAACTCAACCATGATCTAATCTGTCAAGAAATCCTACCCCTGGTCAGCAACGTCCCTTCTTTGAAGGTGAAAACAATCATCTCCCACATCACCATGGTTTTTAACTACACTCCGTCTTACTGTAAGGCGTGGTTAGCAAAGACTAAGGCGATTGAAAGGGTGTACGGAAACTGGGAGGAGTCATACCGAGAACTTCCCCGCTACCTAAATGCACTCAAGACATATTCTCCAGGTAGTGTTTATGTTCTGGAAACATTGCCAGCGTACGCCCAAGATGGTAGTCTACTACATGGCAACGGAATATTCAGTCGCGTCTTTTGGGCATTTCAACCATGCATCACAGGGTTTGCATCATGCAAACCAATTCTACAAATAGACGGGACTTGGTTGTATGGGAAGTACAAAGGCACGCTTTTGATGGCAGTTGCACAAGATGGCAACAATAACATTTTCCCCGTTGCGTTTGCCCTTGTCGAGGGGGAGACCGGTGGTGCTTGGAGCTTTTTCCTGAAAAATCTTCGTACACACGTGGCTCCTCAACCAGATCTCTGTTTGATCTCGGACAGACATGCCTCCATTGAAAGTGCCTATAATAATCCGGCAAATGGTTGGCATGACCCTCCTTCTACGCATGTCTATTGCGTCAGGCATATCGTCCAGAATTTCTCGAGGGAGGTCAAGGACAAAACATTGAGGAAAGCGGTGATGAATGCGGGATACGCACTGACACAACCCACATTCAAATATTACTGCAACGAGATCCGTTTGTCTAACTCAGAAGCCGGTACGTGGATCGACAATATACCGGTCGAAAAGTGGACTAGGTCATACGACAATGGCCAAAGATGGGGGCATATGACAACAAATCTTATTGAATCAATGAATGGGGTATTCAAGGGCATACGAAACCTCCCCATCACTGCCTTGGTGAAATCCACATATTTTAGGATGGCTGCGTTATTTGCCAAAAGAGGTGAAATATGGTATGCGGTCTTGCAATCAGGACAACTATGAAGTGAAAGCTGTATGAAATACATTAAGGCTGAAAGTGCTAAAGCCAACACTCACATGGTTACACGGTTTGACCGCCATAGCCACAACTTCATTGTGAAAGAGACAATTGACCACAATGAAGGCCTGACAAGACAAGAATACAGGGTCATTTTACCTTCTCAATGGTGCGATTGTGGCAGGTTTCAAGCTTTTCGTATGCCTTGCTCTCATGTCATTGCCGCTTGTGCTCATACCCATCAAGACGCGCTTCAACTGCTCTCAAACGTTTATAAATCTGAAACATTGCTCACTGTTTACAACAACAACTTTCCTTTGGTGGCAAAACCGGACTATTGGCCTGAATACAACGGTGATATAGTTTGGCACAATGACCAAATGCGAAGGAACAAGAAGGGTCGTCCCAAAAGCAGGCGCATAACAACAGAAATGGACGATCTTGACAGGTTGGAAAGAAAGTGTGGTTTATGCCGTCAGGTCGGACACAATCGCAAAAACTGTCTGAATCGGGCGTCTGGCTCGACCACATAAATTTTGTAATACAATAAATCTTTTCAATATTTGTGTTGTAAACATTATGGGTTTTCCGTTAATAAAACTGTTCACACAATTTAAGAAATTCAATATAGGAAATTACATTAGGGTTTTCGCGTACAACAATGATTAACGATATTCAATCTAGGAAATTACAACTGTTAACACAATTTCATCTGACCCATGCATCATCAGCATTACATCACTGTCTGTTTTGACTTCCTCCAACCACACATTAGGTCTTCCTGTCGCATGCGAGGTTGTTGTTCGTTTTCGCTGGATCCTTCGAATTTTTTCCCCCTCGGCGATGTCTCCATCTAGCCACCGCATCAACTCCCGCTTCAGACGCTCCATGGAGTGAATGTGCCAGAATTTCATTTTCATCGCATGTTTCGTGGCGGAGAATATAACGTAACCATCTCTGCTAAAAATCATAGGCGACATCATTACGTAAATAAGGGAGTACAAAATAAAAATACAGTGCGAGAAAGTGTGAGAAATTTCAAAGAAACAGACGAATTATTTATAAAACAGCAAAAAACACTAGTTTTGCCCTAGGCGCCAAGTGAGATGGCGCCTCCTCTCATTTTTAAGGAGCATGCGCCATCTCACTTGGCTAAAAGACAAGGGAGGCGCCGAGTGAGATGGCGCCTAGGGCAAAACCCTAGGTGGAGGCGCCAAGTGAGATGACTCCTCCTTTGTGGAGTCATCTGAAACATGGTTATTTGCGTAATTTTTTCCGAAACTCAGTTATTTGCGAAATATTAATTTAATACATGGTTATTAATAAAAAAAATTCTTCTCCTTGTACTGGCCGCGCATCACGAGGTAAGGAAAGGAAGAGGCGGAAAAAAATGGCAATAAGAGTTAATGTTGTTGTGTTACCAACAACAACTTTCATTTTTTTATATTTTTTAGAAGACAACAAACCTTCTCTTTCTCTTCATATCATCACCATCTTTTATTTGTTTTACTTTAAAAAAACAAAACAAACAGCAGACATAGGAAAGAAAGAGAGAGAATGCGGCAGTGACAAGCCAGCCTCAAGGCAGCGCCGCCGCGAAAAGCAATGTTTTCAAAAAAAATTACATTTTTGAGTTCGTCCTCCCTTCCTCTTTTCAAATCCGAAACTGCTTTTCAAAAAAAAAAAAAGTCACCAAAAAGCCTAGATCTAGAGAGGAAGTTTGAAATTATTTTGTCCCAAACCTGAACAGGTCAACACAGAAACTAAAATTAGAGGGTAGAATAGTATTCAGAAGAAGATTATCAACCTTCTAGAGAGAAAAAGAAGAAGAACGGCGGTGAATGGTGGTCTGGTGCAATTTCCGGTGACGATAAAGGGTGGTTGACAGCGGCTTGCGAGTGGCTTCCGGTGAGCTATAGGGCGGTTTCGGATTTTCTGGCGAGGTAAGTTTTTTTTGATTTGTTTGCTCTGACTTCCTCAATTTGTCCGTGAATGTATCCAAGTGTCCCTTTCTCAGTGTTCAAACATCTGCTTTATACTGATAGTTCTTTTCTTTTAGCCTATATCCAATGACTCAGATTGGGTTGAAATGGATGAAATTAGAACATTAAAACTCTGTTTGAGAAAAGCCCAACCGAATATTTCATGTTAGGGTCCAACTTTTTTTCAATTTTTTCTAATATTCTTGCTGAGACTTTTTGTAGATCTTAGATTTGAACAACAGGTTGTGAAAATCGTTTCTTGGGCCTAGCATTGAGGTGTTATCTTCCTGATTCCGGATATGTGAGCATGTATGTTGCTTGGGCTGGAGCTTGCGGTCTTAGCCTTTATGATTTACTGCAAATTTTTACTAAACGATGTAATTGTGATTATTTTTACTGAGTTTGCAATAATTTTCTTCTTGAGCCTCTCTTTGTGAACCAAAACAAAGTTTGTGATTTGAAAAAGGGTTGTGGGCCAATGATTAAATCTGAATCTGTTTTCTTATTATGCAGCAGATGAGGCCTTTGTTTGTTGGGATGGAAAATTGTGATTATCGACTTGTTTTTTCCTGTTTACAGTGGTGTTTGTGATGCCGGTTTATTTGGACTCGTATCCATTCACAAACTGTTTTTTAACCTCTATTGTGAACCCAAAAAAAAGTTTTTGATTTGTAATAGAGGTCATGGGTCGATAATTAAACCAAAATTATGATTTATGAAACGAATGAGGCCTTAAACATACGATTCAAATCTTGCTAGCTTGTGCGAATTTTGTTGCTTTTCTGACTGAACAAATGTGCTAACATACCATCTTTTTCTTTCTTTTCATGTGTTAAGTGTTTTAGCATGGTTGCAAAGGGTATGAGTTGAATACTTGAGGATAATGCAAACTGTAGCAAAGATTGAAGGCATGGAAGAATTGCTTGAGCAATCGGGTAAAATCTTGAAGCAACTCAAAGTCTTGTGATATTTATAGAAGTTTAAGTGTAAAAAACTTGAAATATTTGTGTTTTGATGTTGTAACTAGATTTTAAGCCATATAGAACTTGAATTTTCTTGTGACATGAATGGTGCAATTTGAATTTTCTTGGTAACTTTTTGAACTTCTTTTTTTGAAACTTGCATAGAATTTTGAGGTGATGAATAGAATGGTGTAAGCATTGGAAATTGGCTCTTTTGTTTGAATTTGTAACTTTCAAGTTTGAACTAAGGCCTTGAGTTAAATGAGATTTTCTTCCTTAGCAATGGCCTTTTTGGAACTTATAGATTCTTCTGAGCTCATGAAAGCAAAAGAATTTCTATCCACCTTTTGAATTTGAAGCTTGAATCTCTTGAACATCACGGAATAGGCCCCTTGTAACATGATGACTCTTTCAATGATTAGGCCAAAGAGATCTTGAATTTTCTTGAGGAATGCCTTGAGAAGTTGAATTTTGAATAAGGCTTCGAAACTTAAGCAATCTTGAAAAATCAAATGATGTTGCACAAGAATACCTTGAATTATGAATTTGGAATAATGATCTTGAGTTTTTTTTTGAAAATTTCAAATGACATTTGAATAGGAATGAATAGAGTTTTGAATAATGCCTTACACCAAAATTAATGTCTTGTAGTTTCTTTTTCTTTTACACATGACCACAAACTTTTCTTTCCATCTCTTGGTCTTTGAAAATAAAACTTGAATTATATCTTGAACCCATGGACTTGGATTAACCAAAAATTTGCCATAATGGCCTATAACTCCTCAAATACAACAATCTTGTACCATGGATCTTTACTTGATGATAAACAATCTCAACGCACAAATAAGGCTTTGAGGCAGAGTCCTGGCATTAGAAAATTGGTAATATGAATTGGAATTTAGAGTCTAAGAATATTATAGGTAAAAAAATGACCTAAAATGTTCCCATAAAATTCATGACCTTCTAAGTACAACTTGTTCTTGCTCATTTAAGCAATCTTCTAGATAACGCCATTTATGACACCATGCAAAAAGAACCACCCCAAAACGAGGAAAGATGGAAGAATTATGATCCTCAGAAGTTGGACGAATGTCACTTGAAAATAAGTCAAAGTCCATAAAACGATCCCTAATGTACTCAGACTTTGTCTTTCTTCAACAACTCGAAGCATTCTTAATCACTCATGAACTTGAGACGTCGAAGAAGTCATGGAAATAAACTCATGAACCTATCTCAGAGAATCTTGAGAATTAAGTAATCAAGTTCGCCTTAACCAAGCTGACTGAAACTTCAAAATAGTGTGACCTAAGATTATATATGAGCACTCTGAAACATAGGCTTTTGGGAACCATCTTTGGCCTGAACAAACCATAACCCTAATTAGAGAGCCATCACCTAATTTTCTCGATCAGAAACCTTGTCTTATAAAAATAAACAAAACATATTTTTGGATTTTGGTTAGAGGTTAGTAGAATATAAAACACATATATACAAGATACATGATTCAAGGTGCTTTGTGATCTCTCAAGAGAAAACTTAAAGATAAAACACTGTAGAAGAAGTATCCAAACCATAATGCGTGATCTTGTTGCATTGTGATGGTATCAAATGACAGAGGAACCTTAGGGGCAAAAATTGGGGTACAACAAGTACAAGGTGAAAACAAAACATATAGCTATGTGGAAGTAATCTCTTCGGGTTTCAATTCTGCTATCGCCCCATATGTCTTCAAGCATCTCATCCCTTGTTGTCGGAAGAAGTTGACTGAGCTGATCTGCACCATTTGAACTTAACGTTGGTAATAAACCTCGTTGTAAGTGATCCAACGGGACATAGTCGTACCCTTTAATCCCTAACTTTTGCCTGGACCACCCTTTCGGGTTTTCAGTCCATCGGGATACCCTTTTCTTCCCAAGCTTCCTTTTCAAGTTTTCGGCTTGCCGGGTGTACACTTTTTATATAAATATATATCCCTGATTTTTTCCTAAACCCTTTTGGTTCGCCGGGATGCCCTTATTTTTTCCTAGACCAGAAAATGTAGCAGGTCATTTTTCATGTGTAGTATTTTTTGACTATGTCCATGTTCACAGAATGCGGGAAATCTTCACCGTCCATGGTGGTTAGTATCATGGCACCGCCTGAAAATATCTTCTTGACTACAAATGGCCCTTCGTAAGTGGGAGTTCATTTTCTCCTGGGATCTGTTAGAACATAGTTTGATTCTACAACCCTTAATTAGAGTTTTGATGATAACAAAATACAAAGAATAAATAAATTGTAAGACTTTTATATAAGACAAATATGCTTCTTAACAATATGCTTTGTATATACAGAAGTTCTGATGAAATCAGCATCAGTATCAGAAGCATCAGAAGATCAGCAATATGTCAGCATTAGAAGATCATACATTGAAGTAACATGTGCTACACGCTGAAGTGACCAGAATATACGCTGAAGCTTGATGACCAGAATCTGCGCATAAACTCTGATTCTGATCAAAGATCTCTACCAAGTCATCAGCACTCAGAAGCGTCATCATAAGTTAAGGCAGAATACTCTGAAGCGCTATCATAAGCAGAGAAGACTCTGAAGCGTTATTAAGCATTCAAGACATGATTAATTGCTAACGGCTCTCTTAAAGACAAGATCTTCTAAATAAGGAAAGTGCGTTACCATCATTGAAAGTGCTTTATGGTCAACGTATCTTTGCCTTGGCTATATATACAAGTCTGTGTGAGAAAAGACACACGTCTACGAAAAACGGATACACTCACATATTTGCTAAGCTTTCAACACCACGCTTACTCAAACGATCTAGCAAATACAATTTCATTCCAAGCTTAAATTGTGTAACTATCACAGTTGTGATATATTGTTTTATTATAAAACATTAACACATTCTTGTTCAATTCTTTGTAAGAGATTTCCTTGAGATAAACCGGTCTATGGTTATACTCAAGAAGGATTTAACAGTTGTTAAAGTAGACTGTTGTAATCCTATTGAATATAATGGATTAAGACCTCGTTGGAGAGAGGCGAAATCACCTTGATGGGTGGACTGGAGTAGTTTTAGATCAAACGAACCAAGATTAAAATACAGTGTTGTCTAAGTTTTTGATTTAAGTTTTACAATTCAATCCCCATTCTTGTGTTTTTCACATCTTCAATTGGCATCAGAGCGCCTGGTTCTGAGCTTATAACACTTTTAACCGTGTCAGTACAAGATCCAGCGTCAGAAAAACACAATGGCAGGACCACATCAAAACATCAGCAATGACAACAATGAAGAAAGAGACAGATTCAGTGGCAAACCTCCAGTCTTTAATGGAGAGAACTTTGACTACTGGAAAGACAGAATTGAGAGTTTCTTTCTGGCCCATGATGCTGATCTGTGGGACATGGTAACACATGGATACACGCACCCAGTGGATGGAAGTGGTCAGAAGATTGACAAGAAAGCAATGTCTGATCAGCAAAAGCGTGAGTTTAGAAATCATCACAAGGCCAGAACAATTCTTCTCAGCGCCATCTCTTATTCAGAATATGAGAAGATATCAAACAGAGACACTGCAAAAAATATGTTTGACTCTCTGAGAATGACGCATGAAGGCAACATTCAAGTCAAAGAAACCAAAGCCCTTGCACTCATTCAGAAGTATGAGGCATTCAAGATGGAAGAGAGTGAATCA